CAAACATACATATATATATAATATATATATATATATATATATATATATATATATATATATATATATATTCATTCAAAGAGGAATGATGTCACAAGTATTTAGTGTGTACAGTGATAACTTAAGTTAGTCATGTCTTGGTGTGTAATTTGTATGAAATTACATACTCACAAAGAAAACACGCGAATTGGCAATTATACGCTTGTTTCTTATATACATAAAAGATAAAAAAAAATAAAAAGAGGGACACACATTGAATACTAATATTTCTTATCAAATTTAATATCAAATTACTGCCAATATCTGCCAAAAGTATGTATCACTACTTGCCATAAGAAACAAAAAAGGAAAAAGGATAACAAACTAGTTGAAATCGTATACGATTCCATTGATGAAGAATTTCCTGATAGAACGTTGATCAATTTCGGCACATGTACGACACGAAATAGTGCCTGTTAAACAATGTGCCATGATACAATGTCTGACAGATATATTCTTTTTACATATGTTTGTACATGAAGAGTTTTGGTAATGATCTTTTGCGCATTATATACGATCTGTATTTATCATTATAGGAGATAGTGTTCCAACGTATAACCATCATTCCTCTTAATTTTTCGTCATACTTAAAAAAGAAAGAAAAACAATGACGAGCTGTTTCTGCATAATCTTCCTCGGAGTGCAGAATAAAGAAAATATGTGTAGCGTTTAATTACACAGATAAACTTGTGTTCTGATAATTTAATACTATCATAAAAATACATAGTTTGTATTACGTAAATCGTACTCGATATGCAGTCTCGGCGTTTACTTTCATGCCTCCTCATCAACAGAACACAATCTCTAATACTTAAAATATATACAATGTTGTAGTAATCTCGTGATTTAAATTTGTAATGATTTTTTCGTGTTATACAATGCGAGAAAAGAAAGGAAGACAATGTACTCTTATTCGTAATCGACGGTGCCCCGTGAAATATATGCATATACGTGTGTATATATAGAGTGTATATCGAATGTGCACAACAGAAATTCTGTACATTATGTACTGATGGTGTAACAAAATTAGTATAATTCGGCGTCTCTAGCTCGAGTTCATATGATGGAGTATCGAATGGAAGCTAGCTCTAGCCTGTCAATAATTTAGTTTGTAATGTCAGTGAACTCTGATATTGATCCTCTTGTGCTTCATTGTACTGTACTGCTACTGACAGTCTGTTGCCACAAAAATGGTGTGCATGTTTAACGCTGAGTTTGTATTTGGGACCAAAGCAAGAAGATCAAGATTATTTTTTATTGAGTATATAACGAGTTACTTCTGAAATAAATGACTGATTGAGAACGATTATGCAATACTACGAAATTGTGAAAAGACATTTCGTGAGTTTCATTCTTAGGATTCTTTTTCTTAATGTTAAGAGGTCGCCGTAATATTGGAAAAGGAATTGAATAAACGTCAAACTGTATTATATAATAACGTATTACTGCTTATTTTCGTTCTTGCTTCCATGTGAAGGAGAAACAATTTCTGGGAATGTAATACGAATCAACACTGATTGGAAAGCGACGAAATACTATTACATGCATTTATGTAATTATACTAGAGATATGAATGATATTTCTTTTGGATTCACGTATAACAAATGAAAGATGCAATTCAGAAATTTCACTGCGTCTTGTCGATTTCACGAATTGAAGTACTATGATACGCGAATTGCGTTATAAGTTTCTGTAGTCTTGTGTATCCAGTGCATGAAAAATTCTAATATTTCCTCGCCTTTTCCCTCCTCTCGCTGTTGGGCATTCACTAAATGTTGTTAGAGTATTTATGTCTGGAAAAAAATATGATGAACATAATTGTTACGCAAGATTCTGTATGTAAAAACAAATAGTATCGATATATTTGCTATTTTACAATGAATGTGTTGAAATATATAATTTAAATTTACCATCGGCATAATACCGACACACATACATACGCAAACAGGATACAAGTATCACATACAAGTGGCAAATGCACAAGATCTCAGAAACAAACGTGAACGTCCGTAGGATAACTTATAATTGCAGAAGCAGATAGCTACGAGATATAAGTAAATATTAAAGTGTGCCTAACATAGTAGTTTATGTTATAAGTTGATAGAGATTAGATGAGCATATTTCAATGATATACTGTCTCTATGCGTGATCGCACGCAAAAGGTGTAGCTCCGAAACTAGCACATGTCCAAAGTTTGCTTCTTTTTGATTGTATAAATCATTCGTTTGTCAGAGACCTTGAGTGACAATTTTAGAGCTCTGTATGTATTAATTACTAGACAACGCAAAAGACTGACGAAGATTATTGTAATCAGTATTAACTAACATTGGTATTTTACATACAATATATATATATATAATATATATATAATATATATATATATATATATATATATATATATATATATATACACCCACATAAATGATTGTACTAAATTCTATTTTGGCTGCTTACGTATTATTTTTACTATAAACGTGAATTATTAGTCGGAATATCGTTCAAGTGTGACACGCATATACACACACAAAGGTAATTTCGTTGTTGTAATGCAACTGATTTACGGCATTTTAGGAGCCAACATGTCTTTAGCACGTATTCATCTAGCTTTTATGTATACTAATAAACTTAATGACACCGAATAATGGCGTTGTTTTTATTTCAAAAGATCCCATCCTTTGCAAACTTACCTGTCTATCTCTTACTGTTAATTTTACATCTGAATGCTAACGCGTCATAACATTAATACTACAAAATTTGCGCAAGATACGTTTGCCATAAAAAATTAGGAACAAGGTGAGAGTAATAAATAACGAGTATTAGCATATAATAAATTGTATATTTCATTTGTTATATCGTTAATTAAAAGATCGTTATTTACCAATATATAAGGTCGATCTTATACACTTGTCTCATTTTCGACGTTCACATTTTATTTTATACACGCGAATTAAAGAGCGTTCACGGATTAACGGTGTGATACAACCCAGCGTGCTTACTGCAATTTTAGATGATCCGAGCCGAGTGGATAAATGTGACAATGGCTTTTTCTCTTTTCATCCTTTTTTCTTTTTTTTTCTTTTTTTACAAGAGAGCGCAGTGCCTCGTGATCTAACGATCGAGCTCAACAGAGCGTACTCTCGTTTTCGGCGTGACTATGTTTATCTAATGTATACACGACATTTAGAAATAACGAGATCCATTATGTTTCCTTAATGTTCTGGTAATTTTTGGATGCGCATGGGCATCGTGTATATGCAATTATGTATAATAATCTATTTACAATCTTGAGACAAGAGATTTAATATATAACTCTGATTCGCAAAGTTGAAACTGCATACCGACTCATGGAATACGAAGAACCAAATTTCGCCGACTAAATTGAACAAAAAAAAGAATCCAGGAATATTTAATTTTCCGTTATAGGAACTTACGCGAGCCGCGCATTCTCACGCGATATTTACATCTCACGAATTTAGGATGAAAGAAAAGATGTAAAGCATCGCCTTACTCTTTACACAATAAACTGTACAATATCGATGGTCGTCAAGCGAAGTTCTCATCATAGCGCTTCGCTATTTTCACATAAACTATAATTACACTTAGCCGATATTTCTAAGCGACCTACGTTTTAAAACAGATATGTACAAAGTGATTTCGCTCACCTTGCTCGTAACTGTCACGCGATATAAAAGAACCACAGAAGAATCATACAAGACGTACGACACACGTCCGTTTTATGAGAGACAATGAAGATATTCAGTACGCTGGGACTCTTGAGTCTCGAATATGCAACAAAATTGATATGTAAGTATTCTCTCTCTAAGGTTTACAATTAAATAATGCAGAAGGTCTGAAAACGCGTAGATTGCACCAACATCGCCCTCAGCGCGTCAGCCATTGATGATTTATTTTTTTGCTATCTACATCATGAATTAAAACTAAATATGTATATACGATGTAAAAAGAGATACGAGAAATTCACTAATCAGAATCAGTGATTTGGGGCTCTATTGGTGCAATCGCTAATGACGTTTCAATTTATACATACACACACACACACATGTATATACTATATATATGTAGACAGAATATAAATTCAGGTTAAAGTTACAAGTTTCTCGAATGTTTCACCAGCCTGAATGTACAGGAAATAATATTTATTTACAATTACAATATATTTTTCCCGGATGGGCCCAGACAGTCACATTGCGTCCGTTGACGCAAGTATCGAGTATCCACGCAGTGAAATTTTCACAATCGTATTATGAACACAAAAGCGTATATGCGGTAGGTTTTGTATCAGTTAAATTATAGTTACATATTGCTAGTCTACAGCTCGGGCACAAGATACGTGTATGAACATAATAATTTAAATTTAAGACAATTCAATACAAAAATATGGGAGTTCAATTATGGAAAAACGGGCCTCTATGTTCATTATCTTAACGCCTATATATATATACTATCAGTTACTTACAATTTAGATTATCAATATTGTTCATGTTACCACCTATTCTAGAAACATTAGCAGCATTTGGGTAGTATTGTTGATACACAATACGATCCATTTAAATACTATCTCATCGTAACTTTTAAGTGAAAAAAACTCCTGGTCTCGTCATGCCCTAACGCACTGTTTTGAACACAGTTACACGCACATTCATTCGTCTTAGGCACAGTTACATACTCAACATAAAAGCACATCACAATCTATTGTTTGAGCTGATCTCAAACAGTCTTTGTGTGCTCATTTGTGTTTCTTTTTAGCCGATCAATGGTGATCATAGATAGAGATGTATACAGGCTATGTATATGAGACAAATCGTATGAGAGCAGCAGTGGATCGTAACTTGGCATGAGACTAATAGGAGTTTTAATACGAAGATAAGAATATGCTCATGTGGCATAACGCTTGGTCCAAAGCCGTGCTATGCGGTCGTGTTCTTCTCTATTTTGTAGATATTGCGTGGCTATACTGCCCACCAATGGATCAGCTGTAAAGGCACAAAGTTACATAAGATCCGGATAATATGTGTGCATACGAAAAAATACAGTATCCGTGAAATCTAATCTTGCAAATGATAATGGAAACAATTATAAATAAGCATTGTTGTGTGTGAAATGCGCATTTATGTACATATCATGCATTGAGTTCAAATATATTATCATAAGTAGTACATTCACCTGGGTTGCAGTCTGTTAAGAGGGAACATATTGACAATAAAACTTTCGAGATCGTCAGTGCGGGAGACCAATTATCCTTCAATATATCCAAGCAAATAACTCCTTGACTATTTATATTGCAATGGTAGATACGTGTTCGGAATGTAACCTATAAAAAAAAAAGATACAACTTTATTTATGTATCTTATTTGTTCACGAACATGCATGCATAACAGTGTATTTTCGTATCAAGTTTACGAGTACATAAGATAATTTACAAATGCCTTAATTTTTTTTCTAAATAATATCTTCAAACATACAGAAATTTATCAAGAATAAAGTGGATGATATTTCAAGAGACACTTGTAAAAATATCAATATCTCGATCTTTAAATGTCAGATTTGATATTATCGTATTTTTTCTTAAATTGCACATTATATAAAACAAAGCAATATAGAAACGTTAAACTTAATAAATGTCTGCATTTTGTAATTTTTTTCATGTTTTCAAACATGTTTTTCATTTTTTCAAACATGTGATATCAAATTCACAAAATGACCTTACCTTAGGAGGTTTAAAGGGATATTCTGGTGAAAAATGTATATCAAGAAAAAACACACCACCCTCGTAAACTGAACCCGGTGGACCTAATATAGTAGAGACCCACTCATACAAGTTATCACCTTTCGGTCCTGCACTGTAAAATATAATTTATTTCGTCACACATACTGTTCTCTCTATATACATATTATATATTTTCATAAGATATTAATATTCTTTAATAATCAAAATTACTGATTGTATAATCCTAAAGCACTGTTTGAAAGATATTGATGTGATGACAAACCTGCAATTGGGAGGTGGATCTAGTGTAATTTCTGCCAATTCCTTTTGTATCCTAAAGTATTAAAATTTAAAAAAGTATTAAATAAGTTTAATGTTCACAAATAAATGTTTAACATTAATATAATTATATATTACGCAAACACTATATATTGCAAGGCAAGTATATCACATTACCTTTTAGCAGAAGTCCCTAAAGCTTTCGACATCTTTGGATTTGGCTTGGCTTCTTTGCTTTCTGGTTTATTGTCTGCCAAGGAAGAACCGCGTCCTCGTCCAGTTCCACTAGATCCTGCTCCTGATGACATGATTCTGTGACAACAAATGCGTGTACACTATTATACATATATTTCTTCAAGTTATTAGTTGCCACAAACAACAGATAAATAAAATAGCAAGTATATGTTTCGAAGAAACAATGAGTTATGAATATACTGATAGAAGCATACAGAGCACACATGTTAACTTTGATTCAATTGACACCTGTAAGATATTCCCACAAAAAATATTTTTTATACACTTTACAATGCTGTTCTGTGTTGCAACACAAAGACCTTTGTGATTCAATTACAAAAAAGAATGCAGTGATTGAGAAAATGCATCTTGCTTATTTATGAAAGTCACATGTGAAACAACAAACCGAGTAAACAAATAACGTCGTTTCCTCCTTTCTTTTCGCGAAAAGGAGTGGAGTTGTAATTAACGATTTTGACAATTGTACGGACCAGCCACGAAAACGCGGTGCAAATCGATGATGCACCGTTGAACAATTTCACTGTGACCGCTTATCACGTTATATTAACGCTTAACAAGGTAGTGCCGCAAAACAAAGCAAAGAATTTCGATTAACTCGCAACGACTCCTCCACTCCCTCCCTCCCTCCCCGCGGGAACATAAACATCGCGCGGATTTGATCGCCGCCGGATAAATAATCTCGTCACTCGATATCTACGCGTTGTATTTTTAAACAGCGATGTCGCGCGAGGTGCCCGCTGACGAGGGAGAATATCGCGCATCGTCGTGTCGAAGAAGGAGACGAGCGATACGTACACGGGTCCCGTGAACGGCCCAGGAACGTATTACGTGACAGTCTGCGGAGAAGGCGCGAAAAAATGCGTCCGGCTGAAAGTCGCCCGGCCCGCAGAGACGTTGTCAACGTCGTCGCGTTGTTTTCCTCGTGCACGACATTCCGGAGCGAACGCAACGCGCGCAAAGATTGATTTCTCCCCGGTGGCGGAGCAGCACGCGAGAGCACGCGAATTTGATCTTCTCTCTCTCCTTCTCTCCCTCTTTCTCTCGCTCTGTCCCTTTCGCGGAGGCTCGAGGAGAACGCCTGTCTAGCCCCACACACACACACACACACACACACACACACACACACATACACCCGTGCGACAGAGACAAGAAATTGTATAGGCGGATACAGGAGAGCCCCACAGGACAACGACGTACATTACCGGCACGTCGTCCACACGAGTTCTCTCGTTTCTTCCGCCCCTCTCTTTCTATCTCACAAGCTACACGGACGTCCGTCCCTTTCGCGGGACGCTTTTTTCTCCCCTTCCTTGTATCCGCCTTTTTTCTCAATTTCAGTCGCCCGTGCGGGAAGGGAGAGAGATGTGTACAGTGCACACTGTAACGTGTGCTCGATGTACCTCGTGTTCCTCGGTGTGTCCACGCCGTGTTTGTCGTCGTCGTACGACGAGTCTAGCTTCGCCGGGTCGACGGGGGGAAGTGGGGGGAGGCGACGGGGAAAGAGACCGGCCCGCCGCTACGGGCGCGAGACTATTCCGGCGAATCCGTCGGAATCTACGGGCTCGAGGGGGAGCAGGATCTCTCCTCACTTTGAGATAATGAGATTATCCGATCAGGATACAAGATGCACACTGCGACGTCGAGTGACGACGGCTGCCTGTTATTATCGTTTGGACCGGAGCGCGGAAGACGGACGGTCTTACAGCGAATAACGCGTTCCTACGACGCGACGAGAGAGTGTGTGTGCGTGAGAGAAATAGAACAGCTACTCGCGTCGTTGTTCTCGCGACACGCAGCAGCAATAACAGGAGCAACAACGACGACAACGGCACTCACAAAAAGCACGTAGTGCACGACGATGCGACGCACCGGCGCGACTCAGCTGCGGCGAGTCCGTCGGAACGACGAGTGCGACGGCAATCGCGAGCGACCAGCACTTCGTCGTCCTCTACAACGATCAGACGCGTCAACAGCGGGAGACAATAACGAGGACGAGGGCACGAAGGTAAACCGATTTCGAATCGCCCTCGCGAAGTGTACGTGCCCGGAAACCCAGCGCTCCTCAGACCCACGTCCTCGTGTCGCGACCATTCATCTCACTTTCATGTCCCGAAATCGCGATCGCGGCGTCCTTCTTCCCTCGGCGAACGCCGAAGAAACGTGCGCATCTCTGCGTCGCCGGATGTTGACTCTGCCGCCGCTGCGGCGGACGCTGGCGAATCCGCGCTTTCGCGCCCGTTGCGATTGGCGCTGCCGGTTCTCGCCGCGCATACCAGCGTTTCCCTATGAGCTCCTTGTTCAGTGACTTGGAAAGTCTCTAGCGCACGGATCGGTCGAGAGAGCGTCGTGTCCAGAGAGCGACACGTGTCGCCCTCGTTTGCGCGCCAATGTTTGAATATTGCGACAACGGTTTTCGTGTATTATAATTATTTTGTATTTAGCTTTTGCAACGTGTTCCTGCCTTGAACGATACAAAGAACGCGGAGTTTTGAGACTTGTGAAATTTTATTATCGACTTATTCGCGCGTAATATATTTTGCGTAAGTTCTCTTTATAACAATTTCTTTCAAGTATGTTTTATTTTTCCTCGTTCTTTCTTTACTTTATAAATATTGCGAAACACAGTACATTGATAAAATGATGGATAATCTCCAACTATAATTCGAATTTAGATTTTGTGCAAACGGTATCCGTCTAATAAAGATTGCTTTGTCATGCTTGGTTAAATTGTATTTTAAAATGCATTGCATTTCAATGTACTTCAAAATTATACGAAGTATTGGTGTGCATATAATGCTTTATATTTTACAGGACAGTCGTTGAATGGATGCTTTGTTTGTTACAGATACTTGGTTACACACAGCTCAACATTTGTCAAAACAGATATCGGAGTATCCTGTTGTACAATCTCGCTTCAATATGTAATTGAAAACATCCGCGATAACGAGCATCGATCCGAATGAATAATATCGGCGCGGGTCTACTCCAATGCTGCATGTTTTGTCCATCGTAACTATGACTACAACTTAGCTAAGAGAAGTCCGGCCAAATCGTAGAAGAAACGCTCAACGTAAGTGCGGATTCGCGATATCGCTGGCCACATTAAAAGCCACTTTATCGAAATGAATGACAAAGATGACAGTGCCTGGGTGTTCGATTCTTTGATTGGATTTCTGCAAGGTCCTATTTGGTCTTCGCCTCTGATGACCTTCATCGAAGAGAAATCCCTTGGTTCGTACAGCATTGTCGGAAATGTCGTCACCTTTCAATGAAACTCGTGGAAAAACTTTTCGCATCGGAATTTCTCAATTATTATTTATTTGTTCAATATTAAAATAAAAAAATCTCACGCGGAATATCACTTGTAATAAATATTGAATTTGTATTACAGCAGAAAGTAATAATTATCTGTTCAATATGTTGCAGTTTTCGAGGCGAATACTGAAGATTGCGAGGAGTATCGGAAGATATACCAGGAGTATAAAAATTTAGTTGACCTGTTGTTAGGATGCTTCATGGAAGATATGAGTATCACGCCGGAACAATTCGAGCATGCATGCTCCGTTAACAAAAACACAAAAATTCCCATACAATTTCAACAAGTATGATTATCATCAAATACTCTCACAAATGAATGTCTATAATCTTTTGCAAAGTATATTCGTCTCGAATTTGTTTCGATAAAATTAAGAAAATCGCACAATATTCAATGATGAAAACAAAAAAACTGTAGCAATAATACTTCAAGATCATTACACAACTTGCCTTTACATTGCACTTAATGCAATCTCTTTCTTCTTCAGTTGTAACATGCGTTTTTGCGCTTTACATTTTACAGAATCTGTTCGAACAAATATGGGCTGCGAACGAATATGAGATATTCAAAAGAATGATGATACAGAAGAACTTGGAGCTTCAATTGCAGGCGCTAAATATGATCGAACAAAAGTATGGTCTTACACCCGCCTCCTTCGTATACGAGACGGATGGCTTGCATGATGATGAATTGGTCATGGAAGACTTAATACAGTATGTTTTATCATTCATATAGAGTAATTTAAATAAAGAATCGAGAAATATTTGAAGTCATACAGTAAAAATAGATGAAGCATATCTAATCAGTTAATTCTTAGGATTAGTTATTTCTTACAAAATTTGTAATCTTCTTATATTTTTTTTATATGTGCAGTAAACACGTTTTAATAGATCAGAGCAAAGAAGAACCCGGCATATCTCCGGAAACGTTATTCGTTGCTGAACACGAGCGTTTGGCTGCCGAATATTATAATGAAAGAGCACTGTTAGAGGAAGCATTAAGGAAGTCACAAGATGCTTCCAGGAACGCTTCAGACGACGAATCAACAGAGGAGATCGAGTGTGCTTCTCGTGAAAAAGAGCCAGTGGAGAAATTCCGTCCAATGAGGAGATTCGAGCCGCTTAATCCGATACCGACTCCAAAAAAAGAATCCAACGAAGAATCCAATGGGGTATGTCTTAATTTACTTGCATCCATGTGATACTAAAATATTTACGACGTGCAATATTTATACAGACGAGCAGACATTTAAAATTGATAATGTACAATATTTGAATTAAAAAATATACATTGCAACATGGATATAATTGCAGATGAACGCGGAGGATATTAAAAAGAGACAAGATTATTTGAAAGCTAGACGAGACAAACTCGTAGCTTTGAAGAAGGAAGCTAGGAGTCAGCAATTAGAAATGAATAAAACTCGACCAAGTTCGGCCAGAGTGGTGGCCGAAGCAACCATGAAAGGTCAAGAACTGGAAGCAGCTCAAGCGGTAGATCCGTCGTTACTTCAAGTACGAAGGGCTCTCGCCGCCCGACTGAAAGCTGAAGTTGTACATAAGTAAATTCAATCTTACGCACGACGATTCGTAATACTAATCACAGATACAAGTTTTAAATTGCGCAATTATAACACGTAGAGATAACGTTTTTAGTCTTCTTCTCCTTTTCTCTTTCGGGAAGTGTGCAACATGCGAAAAGCTACAAATCTTTTCAATATTTACCTCGTTGCTTGAAAAATATCTTTATTTCTGAACAATTATATTATAAGAGAATAGGAAACATAAAACTAAGGTATATCCGCTCGTATACTATCATTGTTTCTTATTCGATATCTGCAATTTCAAAGTTGCATACAATTTGAAATTGCATTTAATAAAAGGAAAGTACTGGGTTTTCAAAAAGTGTCTCCTCATTGCAACATCCTTGCGTAAAAGTATGTTTTGTAATCATAAGATATTTAGTAATAATTCATCGTGCGCATAATCCTATTAAATGTATGAACAAATAAACATAAAATAATGCATGGAAATTTGCAATTAAATAGATCAGATTAATAAATCGCATTGATCGCGACTAAACGCGACGTAGTGTTATATTCGCGTCTGATAGAAACTCAGAAAGTGAAACGTTTAAGGTAGGTTGAAACTTCTGTCATTGACCCAAATATATTCATCTAATTTTAGATTTTATTTAATTAAATACTCTTCGCACTTCTCTACAACACACCAGTATTTCTGTGTAACACACATTTATCATTCTCACTTCTTGGCAGTCTATTTTCTAACGGATGAGATGGATTCATAGCATAATACCAGCAATAAGTACGTTTATGTATAAATCTTTAATTTGTGATTATTATTTAATTAGTTACTAACACGTGCATATCGCTATACAGAATGAAGGAAATCAATAGCCACTTCTTCGAAGTACATCAAGTAGATTTCAGTCCTAGTTACGCAGTATTTAACTATGTGTGTTATGATATCAATTTCATAATATAAACTTAAATTTTTCTCGGATGTGTTGCTCGGAAAATCAATCTTCTAGTTGTTTAACATACCACAACAACTAGAACAAATTTAGGATTGACTGGCTTGTTAATTGATTACAACTAATTACTAGCTAACTAATTCATAGTTAATCATTCACTAATTAATTACAGCTAAAATTCAATAGTACGTAATGTTGGACAAAAAACTCGTAAAAGTTAAGCAACTTTTTTACAGTAGTTGCTTGTTTTGTGCTATGAATCCTGTATATAGGTGTCAGTCCTGTTGTCAGATTGATCTTTCATTCACCAGTAGAATAAAATGCAAAATATTGTTTCTCAATTCATCCACTTATTATCATAATACACACAAAATTGTATATTTTCATGCTTGCTCTTAATTCACAGAATTCACGAATAGCATTCTCATATAAAAAAGTCTCTTTTTCTGTGTGTATATGTATATATATATATATCTCTATATATGCCTATGTATATATATATATATACTATATACTCTCAAAGAATAAGTTTCTTATTCTGTCATTACATAATTAAAACGCATACTATTATTATTAGCACGTGATATTGTACAATGTGTGCAAATCCATTTTTTTCCTTTAATATTACATCGATGTGACGGTTGAAAAAAGTATGCTTGCGATCTTAGCGACGGTTTTGAGGCAGAATGTTTTAGACTGATTGTTATATTATGCATGAAATATTATATCAAATGTTATATTTTTAACAGGAAGCACGTGATAAAACCGTGTCTTCATGGCAGCCAATAGATGCAAGATGTATCAATTTTTTTATCTATTTGTAAATTAAATACATTTTTAATTTATTTAGTGCTAAAAATTCGAATTGCAGAATATATTTGGCTTATTGCGTTATTCTTTTTCAGAATTTGGTACAATACATACCACATCTTGTTAATATTCTTAATATAGATATTATTTAATATAAAATTTGAGATGAGAAGACGCGTGTATGTTGTATGTAACGCGATAATGTGTCGTCAATGATAAAATGAACGAAAAGAACTTAGTCTAAAACACTCTGTATGTACGAATGTATATATGCATTAAATATCGCAATTTAAATAGCACGTGACCATATCTTTACTCTCTAATATCACTTAGATATTAATTCATTTGCTCCTTCTTTTTCTTTCTTTTTTTATTCTTTTTACATACATTCTTTGCACCCAATGTAGCATTCTAGGCTTAATATTTGTTCTTTATTATCGAATAAATCGTAGATATAGTGTAAAACACATGAAGAAGAACAACATTACTCATCATCTTACTTAACTAATTAATATTAGCCTTTGTTACATTCTCATTTTTCTCTTTATCTTCCCCGTGATCTGTCCAGGTTGCACAACATTTTATGTACACGTATCACTCAGCTCCAGCGAATTTGCCTACTTAAGACTTTATTCACAGTTTGCTCATCTCGATGGCTGAATTAACTTCTAAATTCTCTTTCAGTATCATAAGTTAATATATATGTATATGTGTACATGTATGTGTATTCCACGGCATCATTCCAAGCATACATACTTACAGTTCTAAAGCAGTCTTGGAAATTCTTTCGGGTATTAGGCATGTCGGGAATTCTGTACATTAGCTTATAACACTTTACTGCATGGTCAACGCAATCGTAAAATAATGTGTAAAAGCAGTTGCAGATATTCGATGGGCAGCGTACTACATGAATGATATAGCGATAAATGCGAAAGTTAGATTTACACTGTCGTTACACAGCTTCGTAGGTTGCAAAAGTGGTTTAAGGAAGTAGACACTCTTTTCTGGAGCTGATTCGGATAAACAGATCTTAATCTCTCTGATATGATATCGCACAGTTAAATTTGAACTGTGATGAAGCAATCGTACGTGCGTATCTAAAGAAAATATTCTTCTACAAAGTAAAGTAGTCCACGAGTCTAGTGCCAAGCATAAATTAGTATTTGTATATTGCATCTTGTGACATTGTTGTTTCTCTCTCTTTAACTGATATATAAATCATATATCGCATTATATAAACATGTCTCAACAAAGCTAAATTGTGTGCCTCTATTATTATTTTTTTTTCTTTTCTTTACAAAGCGTTTTTCTATAATCTCTGGCTCCATTTTGCCCATGTAGATGTGAATAATTCATACGAACAACTTTGTGTCTTTAAGCCTAATAATCGACAATACATCCATTCCAGGTTATACTTTATACACATCAAGGATTAACATTGGGCATGAAGTGCAGACTGGTGAATATACATAAATCAAATATTTATTGTACAATTACTACTAATTACATTGACAACCGAAAAGCCTGTTGAAAGTATTTCAAAAATGACCGAATTCTTAATGGAGAAATTGCGTGTTTCTGCTTAATCCAAGAATGTGTATGTGTGTATGTCTTACAATCGTTACAAATATACATATATATACAAACTAAATACTACTTCTGATGACCTGCATAAGGTTTCATGAACCTTCTCGAAGAAAACAGGTTCCCTTTATCGCGCAGTAAGCGATAAGAAACTTATGAATGGCAAAATTAAAACGCTCGGTTGTCCTTTTCACGCTTTTCTTTTGTGCGGTACTTCAAGTAGTCCCTCACTCAAAATCTGATCTTACATCGCGTATGTACTAAGTTTTTTTTCTTGCTGGACCTAACACACAGATAACTGCGATTGTGCAGTTTATCATAGTGTATATCTCTAAGCTTAGATCTCTTGCCGTATCTGTAAGAGCCACTAGGTTTAACTAGTAAGGTTTGCCGTAGACCTTTTCAAAGTCTATACATAGAGCGAAGTAAGTCCATGATTAACTCTGTTCCTGAAATGAAACGGATGCATACTTGGGCGTTGGAGGTAGAAAGAGCGAGGAAATTGAGCGTGAAAATTATCAAAAGTACACCTGAATTGCGTTTTTTTTCATGACAATGATCTACAATAAATACGACATCGTATTAAAGAAAATAATACAGAAAGATACAAATTATACATTTCGAAGTTACTCGCGTTCTCCGCTCTTGCCTCGAACGCCTCGGTTATCCGTGATATTGGTTTATCCTAATGTGACGCGCATTTCCAGACAAGTGGAATGGACTGTGATTCGCTTAATATCTTTTACTCTCTTATGTATTACATAGCACACGGTCACATCATATTGCGTTGCACATTGCAATACCACATTAACCATTGTTTACTCATTTCAATTGAAGAATATCCATTCTTCTCTTATTCTCTTTCCGATACATTCAAATATTATAGCGAATTCGGTCGAACACGGCGCGTTTATGCGGATCAAAATTGTCATACAGAAATTTACTCAAATGCAAGAGCACAATACAAACGTCTCAACTGACGAGATGCACGTGTTTTGTTATTCCATATTACAACTCGTACATACTATAATCTCGTCGATTCAATCGTCTGTACGCTATTCTTGTATCCTTTCATTTTGTGTACGGTAGTGTTCAATCAGCTCACACGAACCGAATTCACGAACAATTCAAGTTATAATTTTCATTCAGACCCTACTTATATCTTGTTTACTATACACAAATCAACACAAATAGAATGAGTGCTCACCGCATATTATTATTTTTTTTTCTTAAAAGCACTTGTTGTGTGTCCATTCCTTAGAGAGAAAACTCCATCCGTGTCACTTCCAATATTGATAAGGATAGATCTGTTCGTTTTTTACACATATTTAGAAGGGTCAGAAATTATAATAGCATTTAAAGATCACCATGGCCTTATTCTTCCCAGTTTGCCTACTATGACAATCGTTGTCGCTTTGGGGAAGGACTTAATTCCGAGTCCTCGTCTTCCTCGTCCGAATCTCCCTCGTAATCGACTAATCCCTGAAAGTTAAATTGCTGGACCTTAATATACAAAAACTCGCACGGATTAACATTAAGCATTATTTGTTGGTGCGAGTTATGTAATCGTAACTCGTAGAGTTACGTAAGCAATCGTGAGATCAATTCAACTTTTACGTTGGTGCAGTTAAACACCATTAAACACCATTTGTCACGAGTGATACATACTATAAAAATTACATTGTACAATCCAAACACTTCAGATACGTGTAATTTTCTCTTACCTTTTTGAATAGTGCTGTCCCTGTTTTCTCGACAGTGCCGATGGGCGAATTTGGAGTTACGTCCGAAGTGATGGGTGATTCGTTCGTTGTCGACGAGCTATTGTTGATTTGCGATTGCTGCGAGGTAATGTTGTTGTTGGAAGTATTGTTGTTTAACACGGACTGCTGCTGCTGCTGCTGTTGTTGGTGACTCTTCGAATCTGCAAGCGCGGGATTAAGTGTAGAATTTGAAGAGGATGACTGTTTTTTGGTGGAGGCAGGCGATACGAGATCGGCTGTTGCCGCCGCTGCAGGTACCACCGCTTCACCCTCGTCGAATTCTTCCTCCTCGTTGAACCACAGTTCCTCTTCCTCATCTAGCTGCCTTTGATCTCTGCGATATCGACTGTTGCGCAGAATTGACGGTACACTGTGCATATAAAAGAATTTTATTTATAATTAATGAGAGAAATATAATTATCGTGCTTGTCTCTATTAATACGTGCATTCAATTTGTGTGTACAATGTAAGTTATCCTGTAAGACATAACTAGAAAAAGGATAGGTTGTTCATAAAAAAGAATAATAAATAGATGAAAATATCGAACTAGAATTTTATATATAAGGATTTTCGATGTAACGGATCGTCGTACCTCTCAATTGCAGCTCTATCACGATCTTTCAGTTTGTCCTGATGCTGCTCGTATTTTAATTTCAACGCCTTAAATGTTTGTACGTAATCAATTGCTTCGAGTTCTTTCGAAAAGTTCTCGACGACATGTGAACAGAGTGACTTTATATCCTCCTAAAGCATAAGAAAGTAATATTGAGTAATGTGATGATAAGAAAAACTCGAAATTTGAATCTAAAGCTATTACGTACAAGCTTAATAAACTCGAACATCTCCAATATAGCTGAGTCTAGGAGATTGTATCTGCCGTTGTTCCTTACAAATGCATCGAAAACAGGCGCAAAGAGGTTACCCTTAATTATGTACCTATTATAAAATTCATCCTTCAAAGCTATAATCTTTCTCATAAACCTTAACGCGCATAACACTAAAAATGTGTGTGTTGATTTCATTAAAACCAATATTCTTCTGAGTAGGTCTTTGTTCAATATGCAATTCTTGATGTGATACGTGTGATGCTCCACGCAGAACGACAACAGTTCCAGGATCAGTCCCAAAAGTTGTACTGTTCTGTAATCCTCTCTCGCGGGCTGTTCCCCGATCGTGTTCGCTAGGAGAGGCGCTATCAGAGTAATAATACTATTCTTGTAAAAGTAATTTAGGAAATCAGTCTTTTCTGTTTTGTTAACAGAAGCCAACATATTCTCCGGGTCCAGAAGTAAACGCAACACGCCAGCCAACTGAACCGCTCCACCTAACTCGGGATCGCTGTCTCCGACAAGTTGAGCAACTATTACGTTGACTAACATTTGGTCCTGATTCGCGTTAGTTATCTGTTGTAACGTATAATCTCGTACAACACTCGGAGAGTATTCCACAATGTAAGTCAATATGTCTATACTGGCCGTTTTTGTCTGCGCATCGTTTATTGCCAAGGTAATTTCTAAAGCAGGAAGTATACCAAGTGCTGTTAATGTCTTATAAAACGCCTCTTTTCCTTGTGGCTGAAGATTCTGAGAAAAGTTACAAAATTCCTTCAAAAAAAGAACCAAATCACGCCTCTTGCTATCTAACGTTGCTTCGTCTGTCAACTGACGAAAAAGTTCAGTAAGAAACTTTTCATCGTCTTGTATCAAAGTCACTATTTCAACTTTATTGAAAAATATAAAACTACTCAGTGTACTCAGCATATTATCCTCGAATACACTCGGGGTTGGCAGCACTACATCTTGAATGTACTGAACTCTGTACGTTTGATGGATTTTAGCTAAAAGTTCGGCGTTTGTAATGGGAATTGCTTGCTTAAATCTGGCTAATTGTCGAAGGTATTCTCTATGCCTCTTTGGCTGAGATAAATTCGGCTCATACTCTAAACATCCAACAACGTCGAAAATCGTGTCGTCGCTGAACATAACTTCGAACAATGCATTCTTATTGAGTAAGAAAATATTTTTGAATATATCATAAAGATGATGCAATCCCTCAATATTCTCCAAATCTTCGCATGTGTGAAAGAGATTTAAGAGTTTCTTAATGTAACCTTCAGATTCTAGCGCAACAGCTAACTTTTCTTTTCTCATCGGCGAGGTTAGACTATTCTCTATGAGCTCGTTAATATCTTCCAATCGGCTAAGTTCGCATGGAGGTAATTCAATCGGCGGTGCTGCATCTGACATATCATCGAACCGTTCGTCTTCGGACTCCTCTACGATATCTTGGGTGATTTCTACTGATGGATCCTTGCCTTGTACTTGGCAAATCTTTTCCCATATCTCGTCACAGCCAGCCTTCTCTTGAAAACTTAAGGCTAAGTCAAAATTGTCTCCTTCTGACCATACTATTAAAGTATCCTGAAATCAAACAAATATTTATTTAAGTATGCACACGCACACATACACCTACTTACTCACATCAATATGTACATACACATATGTATGTATATATGTAGACATATGTGCTAATTATATATTTTTTATATCATATAAATTATACACTTAACACATTAGTGCTTATAAAAATAAAAAACAATGCTCTGAATAATCATGCCAAAAAATACTTTATAATAAAGAAATTACATATATACTTTACTATAACATAAATTACTTATATACTTTAAAATAAAGAAATAATTAAAAATGCCAAAAACTGATCTATTTACTTTGGTATGTTACAAGTATCTATACAATAGAGGTATAGTATAAGAAAATCTACAAATGTCCTCCTATAGTAGCCGTAACAATATGGCTGTAAGTCTGTAGCATTTAATTGATGGTTATAAAATGTAATATTCTTATAATCATGCTATTTACCATGATCTACTGTAAAAACAAAAAAGATAAACCAATCAGGAAGAAGAGTCTCTTGTGTCCCATTTTATGTTTTGTTTTGATTAATTGACATAAAGATATAAGGCATAAGAAATAAGAAGATATTACATTGGAACAGATTCTTATGATTGTGTCTTATGGACTTACAGCTATACTATTAGGTGGCGCTAGTAAAATTGTCTATTTGATTGTTACCTGTTGTTTCTGATATGCTGTATCAGGTTGTATTCTACTCTCCAATAAGACAGATCCATCACTTTCTGCTCTTACCAACAGTGAAATCCCCTTTAATCTATCTACATAGGAAGATGATACATGACCAGTTCCACGATCATCCCATTGTCTATCTGCATTAAGTGCATATAATTTTACTCTTCTTCGTGTATCCGTCATATTGTAAAACTAGTTTAGTGCACTCCTTCCCAGATTATCACCAGCTATCCCGCATGCCTTTTCTAGGTCTGCTCAATCTTTGGCCCACTCAGTGCTTATCGTTGCAATAAAATTATTCAGATGCTTGTCGGATTAGCAAACGCACAGAAACCCAGATATGTTAAACCTCTGTACGCTCTAGTACAACCCATCAAGGTTTCTTGTTATTGCATTATTTATTACTATGGTATAAACAAAATGCTGATGTACGTGAACGTTTTTGCTACAGGGTTGTTTGTACGTACGCAGTACACACACACACATACACACAAGCGTCTTTCTCTTTTTATCTCTTTCTTTCTTTCTCTTTCTCTCTCTCTCTCTCTCTCTCTCTCACGCACTAGCTGACTCTGTACCTTCTTTCGAGCACTCAATTAAAGAAGGAGCGTCAAAAGAGATGATTAACGGTTCCAGCCGGAGTCTCGAATAGCAAACAATATATATGTTTACATGAATAATATACACTTAGCTCACGACACCATTCAATGGACAACGATGTCGATTGGGACGTGGAGAATATGCGCGATCGTGTCCCGTGAAGGAGCGGTAGTTTACTACGTTGCAAGTTATACGAACAGCAACCAGGTGAACAATGGAACGAGAGCGTCATACGGATATCGAGAGTCGGTGCTTCCAGAGATCTCCCACGATGCTACGACTATTCACCGAAGTGAGCGTGCACAAGCTGGACGCTGCGCGACACAACTGACCCAACGTGCACGTCGAGCCGCCAGGAAACGCTTCCCCTCGACGACGACGAGCGCGCGGGAAAATCACGTAGCAAACGCAGAATCGCGAACGTACCGTAGTCCCGCGCTCCTTTCACACGTGTGGCGAATCGCGACGATCGGTATCGGTTACTACTTGCGGCGTGTGCGATAGGCACGATGACGCGACCACCCCACGATGTGCGATACCTCCGAATAGCCCGGCGAACGTCGGCCGTTCCTCCGTGTGTGTGCACTTTCTCACCACCTCTCTGTGTACGATGCTGTCGCCGCGGCCGCGGCGAACGAGAAGTTGCACGAGGACTTTGGCTGCCGCGCTACTGGCACGTGAGAACACGACGATCTTATGCGAATAATCGTGCTGGCCGGTCGCCGGCTCGCATCGCCGTACGTTCAGTTGCCCCTGAGCTATTATCACTCTGAAACTGACATAGACACTGAGGCAGCCACAACACTACATTCCGCCATGTTAGATCATAACAACGCGCCACGGGGTCCACCGCGTGCGAACGCACGGACTCCGGAGCGAAATACAAACTGCATTTATTAGCGCTTCACAAAATATCATGTTTTGATACTCTCAAGACCGATATCGATGATTTTTGCATTACTAAGCAAGATATCGTTTCACGTTGCAGTAATCTGTAAGAAAATATAAATTATATATAATTGTAAATACATGTGACTATAAAATTTCAGTTAGTCGAAATTCTACTTAGTAGTCATACTAATTCGTATTAAATTATAAGTGCGATCTGTTAGATTTATTATAAACGCTTCCAAGTGATTAGCATGACTATAAAGGGACGTATACACTGGAAGTGAGCAGTAAGAAGTAGGAAGTAAGAATAAGAAATTGACCATAATTGATTATTCTTCTCAAGGGACGTCTACATTGAAAGTAAGCAGTAAGAAGTAGGAAGTAAGAATAAGAATTTGACCAATCATAGTTGATTATTTTTCTCACATTCGACTGTGGTTGGTCAATTTCTTACTCTTACTTCCTACTTCTTGTTATTTACTTCTTGTTATTTAGGAAGTAAGAATAAGAAATTGACCATAATTGATTATTCTTCTCAAGGGACGTCTACATTGAAAGTAAGCAGTAAGAAGTAGGAAGTAAGAATAAGAATTTGACCAATCATAGTTGATTATTTTTCTCACATTCGACTGTGGTTGGTCAATTTCTTACTCTTACTTCCTACTTCTTGTTATTTACTTCTTGTTATTTAGGAAGTAAGAATAAGAAATTGACCATAATTGATTATTCTTCTCAAGGGACGTCTACATTGAAAGTAAGCAGTAAGAAGTAGGAAGTAAGAATAAGAATTTGACCAATCATAGTTGATTATTTTTCTCACATTCGACTGTGGTTGGTCAATTTCTTACTCTTACTTCCTACTTCTTGTTATTTACTTCTTGTTATTTAGGAAGTAAGAATAAGAAATTGACCATAATTGATTATTCTTCTCAAGGGACGTCTACATTGAAAGTAAGCAGTAAGAAGTAGGAAGTAAGAATAAGAATTTGACCAATCATAGTTGATTATTTTTCTCACATTCGACTGTGGTTGGTCAATTTCTTACTCTTACTTCCTACTTCTTGTTATTTACTTCCAATGTAGACGTCCCTTCACATTCGACTGTGGTTGATCAATTTCTTACTCTTACTTCCTACTTCTTGCTATTTACTTTCAATGTAGACGTCCCTTTAAAGATTGTTCTACATTAGTTGCAAGTTGATTGCAACTCTTGTTGCGACGGCCAATCAGAAGCGTCAATAGCACCATTGATGCTTCTGATTGGCTGTCGCAATAAGAATTACGTCTGCTTGTGATCGGCTTGCAACTAATGTAGAACGACTTTAAGGCCCATCTACAATGAGATTGGCAGTGGGCAGTAATGTTAGATTTACACTGGACGCGATTAGCGATCAGTGATGAGCGATGTTCAATGAGAGTATTGCTTTAAAAAGAAATGAACTCTCATTGGATATCGCTTATCGCTCGTTGCTAATCGCGTTAAGGGCCTTCACACACAAATTGACATAACAGTAACGTAAGATGTACCGTAAAAATTGACCAATTACGATCAAATATTCATCAAAATGGCGACTTTACGGTTCAACGATTCTCAACATGATTGGTCAATTCTTAGGGCTATCGCACACAAATTGACATAACTGCATATGCATAGCATAAGACCGTATGTACCAATGAGCATCGAGTATTAAGTCGCCATATTGGTGTTCGATGCTTAATATTCGATGCTCATTGGTCCATACGATCTTATGCTATGCATATGCAGTTATGTCAATTTGTGTGCGATAGCCCTTACGGTACGTCTTACGTTACTGTTATGTCAATTTGTGTGTGAAGACCTTAAGTGTGAATCTAGCATAAGACGTAAGCAGTAAACAAATTGACCAATCATAGTCGATTATTTCTGTAATAATCGACTGTACGTCCCGATCCACAATAGGTAGTAAGCTTTAAGCCTTAAGAAATTGACCAATCACAGTCAAATTTGAGGAGAATAATCGATTGTAATTAGTCAATTTGTTAAGACTTAAAGCTTACTACACCTATTGTGGCTCGGGACTAATAATCGACTTAAGACCGGTTTATGGCCGGTATTCATAGGATGTTTTCCAGTTGCGTACACTGTGTTACACAAAATCAGTTTATTGGTTGCATATTATCTTACAAGATATTTTAGATAATATGTGACCAATAAACTGGTTTTGTGTACGTGTGTATCAAGATGTGTTAAGCAATTGGAAAGCACCCATAGTTGAATCTTATTTCAAGACTATCTTAAGCGTGGCCTATAATGTCTGTAAGAATATGGCTGTAAGACGCGAAATGAATTATTTTTATTCGCTAACAGCTCACGTTATAATCTTACATCCATATTCTTACAGACATTGTAAACGAGCCTTTAAGTAATGTCTTAAGATGCGAATACGGCTCTGTGATTGGTTCATGACATCTTAAGACAGTATTTAATAGTATGTTCGACTGGCTCTGGGTTAACCCACTCTGGGTTATTCAGCCTACGTTTATTGGTCGAACAAGTATTTATAAACTTTATGATTGGCTAGTAAAGACTTATGACGTCATTAATCGCTCTCGGAGCGATTAACCCAGTAGCCTTATTCTGTAACTCGTTATTGGAGTTATCGACAGTTTCGTTATCGCAGATTTTGTATACCGTAGAAAAGCTGCGCAATGATAACGAAACTGTCCTTAACTCCAATAACAAATTACAGGATCCCAGCACAGGGCCAGTCGAACAGGGTGTATATCAGTTGGACACGGGGCAATTGGACACAGTCCAATCACAAGTCGCTGTTCCAAGGACCCTACAAATATCTTTAATCACACGGTGCTGTGATTGGCTGTGTCCAAATGCACCGTGTCCAAGTACACCGCTCCCAGTCGAACATGCTATGAGTATCGTTGAACCGTAATGCAGGATTCACACCGCGTCCGATGTCCGCGTCCGACGTACGACGTCCGATATCCAATAGGAGAACAGCTTCCTAATATAAAATTCAATTCTCCATTGGAAAGCTATTCTTTTATTGGATATCGGACGTCGTACGTCGGACGTCGGATGCAGTGTGAATCCTATATAAGGTCTAGAGAACTTCAAGTAAAGAGAAACTTGATCACGTGACCAGCTGATTGGATGGCATAAATATATACGGATTTAGACACTGCGACGCCAATGAAGAACAAATGCTTATATTTATATTATATATGATTTTGTATCAGCGTCGCAATGTCAAAATCCGTACATGTTTATGCCAGCCAAGCGCAGAGTAGCTGGTCACATGACCAAGTTAGCGATTCTCTTTACTAGAAGTTCTCTAATAAGGTTGCCATTTTGTGAATACTCGATTGTAATTGGTCCATTTTTACGGTACATCTTACGTTACTGCATGTCAATTCGTGTGCGACGCCCCTAATTGGTCAATTTCTTAAGGCTTAAGGCTGGGAGCACAGACTTTTGTATAACGCATAAGGGAATCAACCAATCAGAGATCTTTATTTCCCTCTCCAGGATAGAAATGAATGACTCTGATTGATTTCCTCATATGTTATGCATTATGCGTTATGCAAAAGTCTGTGCTCAGGCCCTTAAGCTTACAACATCTATTGTAGATTGGGACTTACGGCCATCATAAACCAGCCTTTAGTCTAACACGCTATCTATCAGATTTTGAAGGTATGAACGGGAGATTAGAACTCAACCAATCAGACAATCTCAGGTGCTTAGCTTACATTTTTCCGCGAATTTCCAGAATCTGTGAAATCAATTTTACAGAATATGATTTACACTAAAAAAAAATCGTCAAACATTTTTGTAGCATATACATATATAACGTTATTGATGTGGATAGAAAAAAATTTCAAGCACTCGAGATTAATTTCAAGGCAATTTATCTTGATTTTATGAAGATAAGAGAAAATAATTTATTCGTACTGTAGTAATATGTTTAAAGGGATATTGAAATTGATGACAAACTCTAAAAATGTCAATAACGCAGAGACGATCGTCACTAATACAATCACGCTATCCTTTTCGTATTTCTTGTACATACAGAATTTACATAAATTATATATGTTGCTTTGTTTTACCATATTTAACGGAAAACCTAAGCAAGTATGTGTAAAAATCTTTCTGCAAATTTTTCCGATATTCTTAAGCTTTTGAATTCAAATATGAAGATGCAACAATGTTCTTAAAAATTTTTCTGCTTTAAGTATCCACTCTTTCGGTATGTGGAACTTTTGGATTAGACAAATATTATGTTAACTGACCGCTTGAGATTTTACATTTAAAATTTCGTTTTTATCATACATATTAAACAATGCTTCTATTTATTTTTTCACGTACTTTCATTGCATAAAAGCATTTGTAATTTTGTACAACCAATATGACTTTATAAACTTTGTAGAAAAATGTAAGTAATCTGTTGATGAAGTTTTCAGCTTCAATATCGTCTTAAGACTATTCAATATATAAGGAATTTCTAAGTGTTAAAGCTTAGGGACAAAGAATACTCATGCGTTTTATGCAAAGGATATCGAATTAATTTCATAATTACAAGGAATAATTTTACACAACTACGAAGGCTATATGCAAAGAAGCAAGAAAATCTAATCATATATACAGGTAAACATGTTTATATATAAATCTTAAAAGTAGAATATATATTATATACCAAAAAAAACCAATTTCTCGTACTTCATATTCGTTTCGGTGATAATTTACAAAAAGAAAGACATCAATTGTGTCATCCCTATAAAATCATCCTTCCACTTTCCTTGATTATGATTGTTAGTATCGTAGCTTTAGTTTGTGGTTTCAAAGTTCGGGCTTTTTCAGTCTCAGTTGTTGCTACATCTTGGATTTAACAGTCGCTAGAGGATCGTTTACAAGTAAAGTTTATCCGCGCTCAATCCGTGCGACCGATCTTGGAATTATTGTTTGAAAGGATTCGCCCGTCGGTTGTCACAATCCTCAATTGTTTATATCGGTCGCTCGCGTAATTGAGGCCAATCACTAAGCAAATTAAAGACTATTATGTTACATGGTTTATCACACAATTTCATCTTTATTTATTCCGTCGTTGGCTGAATCGAGAACTTTTGTAGCCTGCGCTTGCGCAACATTTCTTGTTCGCTCGAGGATTTTGCCTCAGTCCTAGATCCTAAATCTGACGTACTATTAAGCGTTGATGCATTTTCTTTCGACGTGCTCGGAGTGGAAGGAACGTCTTCCTTCGACGTGCTTGGAGTAGGAACGTCAGCTGCTTGAGCCGGTGGACTTTCGGCATTGATGTCAGTGCTTGCCTCCACCGTACTGCCTGTCTGCGATTTCGTCATCGCAGATGTATTTGATGTTTCTGACGTATCGTCGGCGGTGCTCGCAGTGTGCATGGGAATGCTGCAATTTGAAGTCGCGTTATTTATCGAAATATTAAAATACACATCGCTGCTCCAATTCAAGCACATCTCATGATCATATCGTTTGACGATGTTTCTGTATAATGTTAGAGCAGTGATAGAGTGTCATCTCGATCACTTACTTGGCCGTAGCAGCCGCTCTCTGATATTGATTCATCATCGCGTTAGCAGCGTCCAACAGAAGTTGGATTCTTTGCAACGTTTGTATCCTCGCTTGAACAGCCTGCCGCAAATTACCCTCCATGGCTCGAAGTTCCTCTTCGCTCAGTTCAGTTAAATTCGGCGGCGGTACGGGAATAGGCGGAAAAGGTACTAACGTAGGAAACAGCGGTGGAAGAAGTGGTATATTCCCGGGAGGTATGATCTGAGGTGGTGGGGTATTTCCAGTTCCATTATTTTGAGGTTGCTGCTGCTGTTGCTGCTGCGACTGCTGTTGTTGTTGTTGCTGCTGCTGCTGTTGTTGTTGAGGTGGTGCCCCTGGTGCTGGTAATCCAGCCCAAAATACTGGGAAATGGAAAGGAGGTGCTGGTCCTACGATAAATATAAATTATATTAAAGACAAACAAAAATCATCTTATTCGTAAGAAGACAAAAAGAAACGAAATGAAAATTATGAGGAAACAATGAGAAATTGTACCAAGAGGGTTAACTCCAGCAGGTGCCTGTTGAGGCTGAGCCACCTGTGGTCCAGGTTGGGGAGGATTGTGCTGTCTAGGTGTTGAATTATTTGCTCCTGGTCTCAAAATGTTCAAACGGCACGTCGGACATGTCTGCTGACGTTGAAACCAAGAACGTAAACAAGCAGTATGAAAGATGTGATTGCATGGCAACTTTTTACTGGCTGAAACCATCTCCTCCCTGCATCAACGAAAAACAATATTTTCGAATCTTTTATCAGAGTATTTGCTATTTTATAGTAAATGCTATTTATAGATAATCTTTTATCAGAATATAAATTACTTACCGGCATATAATACAAACATTATCGGCAGCAGCTAATTCCTCGGTTGTCGCGTCTGGATAAAGCGTATTCATGTTTCTAATAGCCCTTCGAGACATCACAATATCATGGAAAGCTTTCTTGAAGTCTCGCATTGTATAATACATAGGACGTAGTGCAAACAGAGGTAATGTAAATAGTTTTATCATCAGTGTCACAAAGGCGACATACAAAATGACCTGGCAAAGAAAAAAAATATATATGTATTTTGATTATCAAGATAGATATAAATATGAAAAGTAGTACGCAAGATTCTTACCTTTAATAATCCAATAATCAGTTCTGTGTACAACAAGAACACTGGCTTGTTGTCCCATGGGTTTTCACTTTGCAAATCGATGGTGTGTAATATATACTTTACAGCAGTGTTAAAAACAACAGTCAACAAAATTGCATATTCAAAGCCAAACACCAGCTGTACAGAAGGGCCTTTAGTAGCTGTTGTGTTGTATGCATAGTGTATCATTGTTAAATTAATGGCGAACAGAAGCCCTAGTAATGTACCCACTCTAAGATGGAATAACCATGTTATCACTGGGCTTCTTTCCATCTGAAAAACAACAGATCAATCAATTATATTTCATATACAATTTTTTACAACAAACTGAAACTTACGTAATCGACACGGTCCTCTGCGAGCCAATGAAACGACTTTAAAAACAACAGGAGAGTAAACAATGCTATAAATTTTGGGCTGAAGTCATCTCTGAATACTGTAAATGCCAAACAAGTTTCTGTCACTGCATACCACACTTTTTCCACCAGGTGCTGCAACAAAATAATCAATATTATGAAAGACATACTGGTAAACAAAACAACAGTGCAAAGTTAAGAAAGAAGAACGAGAAAACGGTTACTCACTTCAAGTTCGGCAGCGCGCAGGTTGCCGAAAAAGAGCTTTCGCAGGAAGGCGTTTATCATAAAAGCAAGAATGAATCCTTGCGCGTAGATCACCTGAGCAACACAAAAGCAACATGTATATAATGGTAACAGCTCACCAATTGTTGTCGCGTTTTATTACGCGTGCAAGTGATAAAAATGTCACACACGAGAAAAAAACTCACGGTCATACTCGGGTTGGATTTGGTTATGTGAACCACAGTGGGATAGAATTGTTTTCTCTGATAATATGCATTTCCAATGACAGCGCACGTTAGCACGGTGCTTATCAACATAATTCCGGCCTCCCTCATATTTGCGTGCACCAGCCGCTTTCTTACGTCAGTCCACGTTGGCGTTGATTCACTGAGGATTGAGGAATCGGCTTGACACCTATCACACGGAGAATTTTACGTTTCGACGGTTTCGTTGGTGTTCCCGGACAGCTGTATAGTGTATATTGTACAATGCTGCGCGATATCGACGGCGTTAACAACGTGGCGCTGATAGCGTCGCGGCAATCTTTAAAGTGCACATTACTATACGTAATGTATGCACGAATGACGTGGTATTTTTTAAGCAATAACGCACTATCATTTTCTTTCTCGTCGCAAGAAACATCAGAGCGCGTAGCACGTTTTTTTTGCTCATTATGCAACATAATTTATGAGCAGGCACGTCACAATGTCCATTATATCATACGCGAAATGTCAATCGTGTTTTGACAATGAGCGAAGGATAAATGCCACGTGATTGGTCATACGTCTGATCATTGCGTTGAACACGTGGACGATCGTGATTCTCACTCCCATTAATGGCGCTGTCTCGTGCTGTCATAGCGAATTTTTAAATCTGTATTGGGCATTTAAATTTAAAATACTCTGTGTCTACGTGTAGATAACGTAAACTATGTTAACGAGATGTCATTTATGTAAACAATAAGTAATCTATGGATGTTGTTTAAAGAACTTGTTAAAAACTTGTTAAAAAAATAATGCAGAAAAATTTACATTGTTTAATCTTTAAAATCCTTATGTAAATTCATGACTATTTCTTAAATAAGTTGGAGTTATAATTTAATTGTTTTTTTGTATATTTTAATATAATTTGCAATATTCTACATGATTTACCCACACAGCAAGAATGTTCCAAATATATCATAAGGATATCTTGAAGATATCACATATCCCAAATATATTTTTAGGATATCCCTATGATATATTTTGAACACCTCTGCTGTGTGGGTACGTTCTACGCGAAGAATATATATTTTACATAGAAAATACGGAAATAATCCGAGTAGATATAATTTTGAAAACTACGGCACAATCTTATTCTAAATTTTCCAAAGCAAGAATTTGAAAGAGTGACGTTTCCGTAAATTGGCACAGAAGGAAATGAATATACAACGGTTTATATGAAAGGTTCATCAAATGATATATTTTATATTAAAGTCGAGTGTCAATTATAGTAATTATTATTATTACTACGTCCACACACATGTATTAATGAAGGAGAATGAATATTGCAATGAATTCGAAATTGTCATGTAAATAACGATGAATATAACGAGGAACACATGTAAGTGAGCAGATACATGTAATGACTAGTCTTAGAAAACAGTACTTCAAAAGTTTAGTGTGTGCTTTGTTCGATCTGAATGGATATCAAATTCATAAAATTACACAAGTGTATAATTCACAAGTGCGTTTTTCAATCATACAACCAATTATTCCGTTTAAATAACATGCGGAATACAATTTTACACAATCATATTTAAACTATCGGTTTCGTGACAGATACTATCTCTATAGTAACTCTTGTATATTCGATTGATAGTATTCTGTGTACTAGGAACACCACAATGTGCTAATTACAAAAAATTATACTTTCTTATGATAACATATCTAGAAATGAAGCACATAAATTTAACATGATATTTATTACTTCTTTATATTCTGTCCATCTCTCTCTTTCTGTTACGTATGCATACTAAGAGTTCTTGTCTTCAAGATACTTTTAGGACTCTGACGTTTCGGAGTTCCTAACTGTGCTGTCGCTTTCAAAGGTGTTCTACGTGTTTCGACCGGCGGTTTACGCGTTAATTTGGTACTTTTTGGGGTTTTGACAGTTAAAGGTCGCTTAATATGCGGCGTTTTGCTAACATCCACTTTATAAAAAGAATACAGATTTTGTGACACCGTATCGACAGACATCTTTACCAACGGCGATATTTTCGTAGCAGTGTTTTCTTTCTGATGAATTTCTATATCACGTGCGATGTTAATCGTTTTGTCCTTGGCAGAAATCTGATATGAAATCGAATCCTTGTTCGACAGTTTCTGATTTTGTACTTCGAACTTCTGCGCGAGACAATAATTCTTGTCTACGTGTTCTTGAAGCGGCTTTGTTTGTGTGCCTGTTATCTTGATTTGTGGTGACACATTTGTAGATAATACAACTGGATAGTAATTTTTACTTTTCGTCTCCTTATTGGACTGCTTCCGAGAGACTTGTGTTTTCTTGTACGTTTGCTTGAAATGTTCGACGTCTGTTTCTTTAGCTACGTTTGGAGAACGTTTTACAATCGCATTATCACGGTAATGTTTTTTGCTTGGCGCATTCGTTGATGTAAGGTCGGAAATTTTGGTGGTGCATTCGTCAAATAATCTCGCCTTAGCCAAAACCATCCCAGCATTTTGCGCACGAAGTTTTGCGACTGACGCCCTACCAGTTTGTGGAGCAGGTGTGTTTGTACGAGATACTGATTTGAAGTATCGATCTGCGTCTTTCCAAGATATCTCCTTCGAACCCTCGGCGATAATATCGTCTCTTTGTACACAGTCGTTATTTAAGACTATATTCTGATGGCTAATAGACTTCCTCAATTCGTCTACTTTTTTATCAAAATAAGATGAATTGTCTACGAAATCTTTCCCATGGAAAGACGATGCTCTGCGCACAGATGAATTCACACGGTTATTTGTTAAATGTAGATCTTTAAATCCAGAAAGATTCGAGTTGCTATTATTCGTAATCAGTGTATTTACTTGATCACGTAAACAAGCTATCTCATCTGCCGCATTGTCAGAAATCATTTCATTAGATCTCGTTGTAGAATAAAATTGTTCCTCCAAAAATTTGTTAGTAAACGTCGATTGTTTCTCCATGGGATAACCGTTTACTTGTTTCTCTAGTTGTATATGATGTTGCAAATTGAATTCCGGAGATATATGCCACGATGCAGTCCGTCTAACGCGTTTGCTGTAAAAATAAAATATTTAATTTATAATATCCTTCATATGTGTGTCTGATATATTTTTGCCTACTCTATTTTAACTTTTTATCCTAATAATATCCTATTTTCTATAAAAATGATTATACTAATATTTTAAAATGTACAATCGTTTTGTATCAAGATTTATTTATATGACAGTATTATTTCTTCAAATACCTGGTGACTTTCTCTTGTGAACGTCTTCTTAACGTTCCAATTTTTCTTGCGCTAGGGGATCTTATTATTTTATGTTCTCCCGATCTTCTAATCTTTAATTCTTTACTCAGTTTCTTTGCTAAATAATCACTTGTCAGATTATTCTCGATACTAGCCTCTTCTAATGTTTTCTCATATGCAGTCTGCACCTTGTTCACCGAATGTGCAGTTATATCATTCTCCTCATCATATATGCTTCCAAATTCCTGCGAAATACGTGATTCAATTGCGGAAACTCGATTTTTTATATCCTCGTACTCGCTTTTAGGAATTCTGACGTAATCTTCTTCACAGTGATCGCTCGACGATGATATCGTGTCAGTATTCGGAAGAGACGTATCGAATTCTTCCAGATCAGTCTTTTCCTCGGGACTCAACAAACATATATTATCACTTTCATCCGTAGCATCTAATTTCTTCAAACTCGTGCTTGCCTCTATATGCCATTGTTTGCTAGCCCTATGACGATCCTCACTTAGAAATAATTCTTGCCCACCACCTTCGTCCGATAAGTTCACATTGGCATCGATAAATACGTTGTCATATTCCTGAAGCAAATCATCATTCGATGGCTCATCATTTTTCATGAATTTCAAGTGTGATATTCCGTCGTTATATTTTCGTATTTTACACGTATCGGAAGAATTGTTTACCGAACTCCAACGTCTCAACTGTACGTGCGATTTGTAATTATTTGTAAATGAATCGGATGAGTCACCCTCTGTATTTTTCTAAAAATGACATATTGATGCTGAAGCTGTTCAACACTTATATCAAGACTCAAGAAGTTAGTGTGTGTGTATATACATATATACTTACTAATTTATTTTTAGGTACAAATTTGTCCAAACTCAGTCTTATTTTCTTTGACTTGTCTAGTTTGTCAGCCACTCTCCTGAAACATAAAATATTAAATTCATGTATATCTCTCGTTAATATTATTTTATTTAGGATATATTAAAATAATGCATAAAAAAAAGGAAACAAAATTAGCATAAGATACAATAGCAGAACATTTCATACTTTTTCTTTATACTTGGAGCATCCATTCTTTCTGCTACTTTTCGTTTTTTGTTAAATTTAGGTAAAGGCACAGTTAACTGCTCTGGATGTGTAAGAAGTTGTTGATGGTTGATATTAGACATATCATCGACACCTTTTCCAACTATTTTCTTCAATCCATTAAACATTCCTGTGGAAAATATTGCAGAATATATAAAATATATTGAATAAATATAGTAAACAATTTTATATTTGTCTCATGCCATAATGTATGAAAACATCTATATAAAATTTTAATTATCAACATATATTAAATTTAAAGAGAATAATATCAAATATCATTGGTTATATTAATCTATGAGTTAGTTTTATAAACCTTATTAATGTTCATCACATACATTTGGTACATATATAGAGTATAGGTTAATAAACACATGCATACTTAGATTCAGATTGGTAGCACTTAGATGTGGCTTACGTGTAAGACTTCCACTACGATGTTTCTTCTTCTTAGACTTTCCGAGTAACTCAAATGAATCTAATCCATTATCTGTACTACCACTTGTTTCCATAGAAACGCTTTGTGCAATATGAGGCGGTAGAATACCAATATTTTGTGAATTTTCAATTAATATCTGTAACAATACTTCTCTATTTACAATATCTGGCTACTTGCATTATCTCACAATATTCCTAAAAAGTATATGCATTACCTTGATAATAGTCAAGTGCATTTGCAATCTATTTTGCACAGCTGACATACTCGTGTCTCTTAAAGGCATGATATTTGGTCCGACAACTTTTGCCAGGTTTTCAATGCTCATCTTGTTTTGTTTCTCATACATGGAGACTTTCTTCAAGAACTCCATGAAAAAGGCTAAAGTATTCAGGTGATATGGGGGTAACAGTGTGCACGCTAGCAGTAAAGCCTGTATTCGATAACTCTTCAAAAGAGCACAGTGTACAAACAGATCGTGATACGTGTATGGTATTAACGGCTCTGGCAGATCTCGGAAGAAAGATTTTAGACAACTGGCGACATCGATCGCGTGATTCTTCTCGCCTAAGCTGCCGCCGTTATCTAAGCGAGACATCAGCTCTTTCTGCCGCGCCTGGGAGCCAGCTTTCCTGAAAAGACCTTCCTGTGTAATATACTTTTCCAGGAATGTCGTGGCTTGAATCACGAACACGGGCACGTGAACTATGCCGCCCGAGGATAGATTCACGATATCCAAGGGTTGATAAAACAGAGGAGTCTTGAAGACCCTCTTGGAAATGTCCTTGCAGACATCGGGCCTCTCGCTCTTAAGCATACTCTTTTTGAAGCGATACTTAACCCCAAAGCTCCTGAGATCATTGGCGATGATATGGTAGACCTTTTCCTTATGCAGCACATCGTAGATCAGCATTTTCAGTATCTCGGTGTAATATTAATTTCACTCAAATCTCACGACAAATTGCATCCAGTGAGAAATCACGAGCAAATCGACATCATTCAATACTACAGAGTGTATGTACAATTTTAAACATCCGTTTCATATCAAATTTGACACTCCTTCAGTACTGCCAACACTCGGTTGGGAATAACGAGTTTCTCATGTAAACGACGTTGCAATGTAAATAACTTTCCTCGACAGGAAAGGTCGAATGGACAGGTCGATTCAAGGTAGATTACGACCAAGTTCGAGATTGCATTCCAAGGATGCAGTTCTTTCTGAGAAAAATTTTATTAAAAATCCAATGTATAAATGTAAAAAGGTAACGTAAACTATAGATCTTCAATGTTTAAAATTTTCCTTAAAAAAGAATGTTTTTGCAATGCAATCAAAGCGTTACAATTTTTAAGGCCGTATTCTCGACGCAAATACTTGACATTCGTGACATACGACAATCCAATATCAAATAGTAGAGTTTGTTTTCTAGAATTCTTAGCTGACGACATTTTTGTCTCTGGAAAAATCCTCTTATCGGACATAGCGTGATCCTCCATTAAACTCGGTCTATATAACTCGGAAACGCAAAATGCAAGTCGCAACGTTTGTCACAACAGTCAATTAGAATTGTCATATTTGACGTTCCTGAATTTCCAGACTGATGAAAAAAACCGTCCGTTTGAAAACGCTAAATTCTCATCTAGTTTCCTTCTCTTGCCGTTGATTGGTCTGTTTGTTCGTGTGGTACTTTCCTGCACTTTCTGCGTCCGAGTGTGGGGCACGTGTGAATCCACCCTCGTAGAATGCTCCGTCCATATGATCATTCGGTACGTAATCGCGGACGGATTTCGAAGAGCGTGACTGAGCGTGACTTATCGCCACCGTTCGTGATCGTTCGACCCTCTCGTCCCCTCATCCGATATTATCGGATGCTACATTTTTAGACGCGGCCGACGGGGGACGTAACCTGTGGACGGATATAGAACTCGACTGTGACTCTCCGACACTCGGAGGACGCGAGACTACGTCGTGCGACAACTCGAGAAGAGCAGGATCGTGCAACATCCGCCTGTCATTTTACGGACGTCTCACGCCGCTGGAAGTCGTCGGCGGATTTAGACGGACGAGCTGTCAGAAGAGGGGCCGAAGATCGGTTTTCATGCTCAGCCGTCACGAAACTTTGACAATCGATAAGGAAACATGCGTGTGCTAGACCTCGTGAGTCGGCCCAAAGCGCCCAAGGACTCGGCGGCGCACGAATGGCTCCTTTTTCCCACGATTCGAGGTAAGTCGGCGGACTCGCTCACGAGGTTAGGTGGTCGCGCATGAAGGATCATGAAGAGTCCCGCGACATCCCTGCAGCACCTGCAGAATGGCGGGACCAACGCGCAGCCCGTGCCGCCGTTGCAAAGTTTGACGGCGCCGGGCAGCGTAAAGGCCCGCTACAGCGGCAACGGCCACGCGACCGCCGCCAACGGTAGTTACCAGGTGGTGAAGGTGGCCGGGCGCGAGTCCGGCTGTTACATCGCCAGCAACATCGCGCCCAAGGTCGGCAAGCAACAGCTGGTGTCCCTGAACGGGGACTCGTCGGTGCGCTGCGACAGCGTCAACGTCGACGAGGCGTTGGCATGCGACGTCGCGCCCGTGGCGTCCGCGACGAGGACCAAGGCGCTGTGCGTTCACATCCGTGAGAACAAGTGGTACGACGCCGGCAACATAGTTTCCGTGGGGGTCGCGGGTACCAGCCTGAATCATGCCCTGGAAAGCATGTCCTTGGCGTACAATCCTGCTACAAAGCAGCTGTACTCCGTGGAGGAGACCAAGGCGTCTCCTCCTCTTCCTCCTTCAGGCACCGCGCAGATCGACTGCACCTCTCAGTACTTGGAATCTCCGTGCAACGGTAAGGAACGGTCCGCGCCTTCTAGCACGAAACTCGTCGACGCGGATAGATACACGAAGCTCGAGAACGTGAGCGCGAATAGCAGCCCGAGGAATAGTCTGCCTCGATCGTGCAGCAGCACAGTGTCTTCCCTTAGCGAGATCTCGCCCTCGGGTAGCTTTCTGGGCGCCGACGAGCAACAGCACGCTATCGAGAAGAACGAGAAGAACAAACGTTGGGGCCTGAACTCGCTCTTCGCGAAGAACGTGTTCTCGTGGAAGGGCAGAGGCTCCCAGCAGTCAACGCCCACCGGCAGCCCGTCGAGAAGCCTGGACAAGGTAGGCGGTAGTACGGCTTTGATTCAGCAACCGCGACCGGCGAATCTGCCGGCTAAGAACGCACTGGAAGAGGAACGGCATCGTAAGCAGTACAGTGCTATTCTAGAGGCGGCTAGGAAGAGAGAGCTGCGCGAGGAAAGGGAGCGCAAGCAGCAGCGAGAATCTCAGCTGAAGGAGGAGGAGAGACTGGCCGAGGATTCGAGCACGTGGAACGTGTACGTCCTACCGCGATTCGAGAGCGTCAAGAGCACGAAGAGAGTGAAGGACCTGTGGTGGCGCGGCCTGCCGCCGAGCGTCCGCGGCAAAGTGTGGAAACTGGCGATTCCGAATCACCTCAGTATCACCCCGCACCTTTACAATCTCTGTTTGGACAGGGCGATGTCGTGCCCCAGCAACGAGTCATTGGCCGCGATCAGATTAGACGTATCTCGTACCTTTCCTACCTTATGTGTCTTTCAAGAGGGTGGACCACTATCCGATAGCCTTCAGGGTATTTTGGCAGCGTATGCCGTGTACAGACCGGACGTGGGCTACGTGCAAGGCATGAGCTTCGTCGGCGCCGTGCTGTCGCTCAACATGGAACCGCCGGACGCGTTCGCCTGCTTCGCCAATCTGCTGAATCATCCTTGCCACAGAGCCGCCTTCACATTGGACCAAAAGAGAATGAACATTTACTACAAGGTATACTCCAGTGCTCTTGCGCATAAGCTGCCAAAAGTCTTCTCCCACTTCACCGTGGCCGGACTGAGCCCGGACTTGTATCTATTAGATTGGTTGTACACGATATATGCCAAAGCAATGCCTCTCGACGTCGCCTGCAGAATTTGGGACGTCTTTCTCCGTGACGGGGACGAGTTCCTCTTTAGAACGGCGCTCGGTGTCCTGCACTTATATCAAGAGGAGCTGCTGAAGATGGACTTTGTGCGCGGCGCTCAGTTTCTCACTAGACTACCGGAGAATCTGCAAGCGGAGTCTTTGTTCAACAGTATTAGTCAAATGTCCACTACCGTCGGCGCGACGACGTTCCAGCAGATGTTGCTGCAATTCTCCTCGTAATTCTCCGCGCGTCAGCGATCATTGAATTTCAGGTACCGTCTCTGATTGTTATGGCTAAGGGCTTTAACACCGGATTCTGCAGAAGTAAGCATATTTTTTACACATATTTATTATCATTTAAGATTGTACATTTAACTTTTTTGGAATCTACATTTTTGCTAACGAAACGCGCGAGATTTATGTTCGCTCGATTGAATCACTCGCGGATATACCAAATATTTCTCCTGAAAACGCATTAATTGTTATTTATTCAAAATCTATTGTGAATATTATTTATTTGAAATTTTTGTCTTGTGATTGACACGAGGACGTAATATATATATAATATATATATATATATATATATCGAATTAATTGCACAGGTAACTGAATCATTTTCATGGAAAATCACAAAAGATATATGTGTGTGTATATACATATGTAAATGAATGAATTTGTTATAGGAGTCATATTTTCCATGTAAATAATATAACTGACTGTTTTTCATTTGGTTGTAGATATGTTCTTGTAAAGAATGAAATTAACAAGGAGGATCTGTAGACCCTCGATGCTTTATCAAGCATATTAGAGATCTGTACTCACTTTGCATTCTCGTCTAGTATTTTTTGAAATGTGGCAAATACTGTATTTGTAACATGTTGGAAAATACTCTTCAATACATGGGAAAACGGAGATAGAAAGAAGAGAGAGAATGAATGTGTGCATGTATATGAGAAAAAGAGTACTATATTGTTAGGTTCAAAGTTTAGCTCAATTATATATATTGTCTCGTTTATTTTATTCCTCAGCGGTTTTACCGTTAGTTTTATTACTAGAGATTTATATTACATTTTTAATGATTTGTGATATTTAGATGACCGAGATTTCGATTTTGCTTCACGTACCGACATATACAAATTATGATATTCAGCAGCATCGTGCATTCCAGCTCCGAGACAAATATCGGTCTATTCTTCACGTACCTATTCAATTTGTGCTGGAAGCCGTCTATCTCTTTGAGAACGCGGACGAAGAGAAATATATATACTCGGACAAAACAATACTATATTCAATATACCGCTACAACAGGTATTATATACACGTAAAAGCATATATAATCTCACTCGTGAATAGAATTATAGACACGATTAAAAGAACGAAAAGAAAAAAAAACAAGAATCTCGCTACGAAGTATTTAATTGCTATTTAAAAACTCTAAATATATGCCGATATATTTACGACGATGTATCACGAGAGAGAGAGAGAGAGCGAGAGAGAGAGAGAGAGAGAGAGAG